TTACATGTCTCACTCTCAAACCTGTGAACTCTTGTGAAGCTGGAACAAGGTATCAAGCCATCATGTTAAAACCTGTCAACTCGAGAAGAGGCTGTCTAGATAGGCCGACACGTCGATGGGAAGTAGCGAAAGTGCAAAATGCCCCCCCCCCGTCGACAAAGCGCCGGCAGTAAGAGCAATTTTCCCGAATTTATAAAGAAACATTCCGTGATTATTAGTAGGTGTGTGCTTCTTGCACAGGTTGTCCGGAGATTGTCACACTTCCCGCCGTGGGTGACCACCCGTCGGAAGTGCCACACCTTCCTGGGACGAGATATGCCGGAAGTTCTATACCTATAGGCACAAATGTCACGTGTTGCGTACAATCCGCGTGAGGCCGACCTGTGTTCTCCCTCATATTACTGTTCTCTCTTCCTTTTTCTCTAGCGCAGCAATAGTGGCTTACACGGCTACTAGTCCAGTTGTGGGTACTTATGCTAGACGCATTTGACGGTTTCGTCCATTTTTTTCATTGTTAGGTTAACAGCCACCTAAAAATCCAAAAAATCCATCTTCGAGCCCCTAACCCGTGACAGGGCAAATCCCTTATTACTCAAACGTTAGCCCATGTGATGCCGCGTTGAGTGTAGCGTAGCCAGTGCGGCCTTTCTCCACCAGTGTGCCGTCCTGGAGCAACCTGCAATTGGTGGGAAACTGCCTTGGCTGCCTTCCAAGCCATGCTCCGTCACACACCCTATCGTTTGCAAGCTTATGCTGTATTCAAGGACAGGGATCAGAAATTCAATCGGTCTATAGTAGAATTACAAAGGAATAGAGTTATCGACAGCTAAAAGGGTCTTATAATGATCATAAGCAGGAATAGTTCTGACAGCTAAAAGGGTCTTATAATGGTCATAAGCAGGAATAGTTCTCATTTTTGGTTCATTTTCCTTCTGAATCAATAGAAGAGTGGTACCAAAAAACACTAAGAAGTCCGTGGTTCTTTCGAAAAGCTAACGAGAGGTTCTCTATTTGGTCTTGGTCTTCGCAGTGTGCACTGCTAACGAACGACAACGACAGCTATCTATACAGGGTGGGGCCAAAAAAAAGACACTTTGGCCGAGTCACATATCAGTAAAGTTTACGCAGCCCAGAGAAGACGTGGATACGAGTACCAGGGCGGAAGATACCCAAGATGTTCCTCGATAAGCAGGAGCAGGCTCTCGCCCATCACCTTCATGTACACCAAAATATGAAGCCATCTCCAATCGCAGCTGACTGGAGAAGCCTATGGAATTCACGCAGCCTAACTGGGGAAGACCTATGGAATTCACGT